AGAGGAACTGCCCAGAGTGCCGCGGCGAGGCGGTAGCAGCGCATCGGCCACGCGACCAGGACAGCAAAGAGTGGCGATCGAGACGGTCGCCTGCCTGGCCAGCCAGAAGTGGCGCTGACGATGAAGAAGATGATGAGGATGAGCACGAGGAAGACATGGTCGACGCGCCCGTCAAACCTAAAGAACTTGTACTTGTAGAGCGTGGACTGCACAATGACGTGGAATGCCCAGCAGAAGATTTATACACTGCATTGTCCGATCCTTCAGCGCACTCGGAGCGTGCAGGCGACAAGCATCGTGAACATGCCGGTGACTCTGGAAGGGCGTCCAGGTGCGCGGCCCCAGGCTGAGGGCGGCCAAGCTGCATGTCTGCTGAGTCTTCAGCCAGCGTGTGAGAGAGCCTGGCGACAGTGATACGGAGGTAGAAGGCCCCTGCTGGACCTCAGAGGCCGTGGCCAGATGCTTCACGGTATGGGTGCAGCGGCGCAACCAGGAACGATCACATCCATCCACGTGTGGTCCTCGACGGGCCCTCGAAAGTTCCTAGCGGGACCCACAGTGCCAATCCACCGTCACCCAGTGCTGTCAGCACAGCCCGTGTAGACGAATGTGCATCGATACGATTTTGAGGGGACGCCACAAGGGTGGGGGCGCTTGCTGCTTGCTCGCCGCTATCACGTATGCCCAAGGCAGCGCGGTCCCATCTGCACACGGGTAGGCGCTACCTGCTCGTACCATTTGCGGCGGTGTATGAGTGACAAGGCCCTCCACTCTTCATGCCGCCACCACTTCGCCGTCCCTATCCTTTCACCTTTTACCTCCCCGCTATCCGCTGACCCACCCAGGTTTATGAGCTGGTATGTGGCTGGCCCTGGCTGACCTGGGTTATCCTCTATAAGTCTTTAGTTTTGACCCCCCTTTCATTCGGCGGTGAATAGGACTGGTCCTAAAACCTCTTCCTCATCCTCCCCCCGCTCCCCCTCCTTCTCCTCCTCCTCTTCCTGCTCCTCCTCCTCTGGCTCCTCCTCCTGCTCCTCCTCGTAGTCGTAGCTGTCGCGCAATCGTAGTCGTAGCTGTCGTCGTCGTTGTTGCGCGGCGGGTGCCGCGGAACGATTAGTTACCCCTGTTTGTGGGACCCCAATCCTTCAATAAGGCCGTCGAAAACTAGTTACCCCTATTGGGGGTTCTAAAGACTCCAAAGTTATCGCTCACACGGGTCAGTGCGTCCCCAAACAGGAGAGATTGCGCTCAGCACAGGCAGATTGGGCAACCAGCTCTCAGAGTGCGCAATTCGGCCGAGCCAACCACAGGAATCTGATAACTCCTTGTGAGGGGATGTGCTGGCAGGAAAGGCGCGGGGATGGTGGAGAAACGTGACGAGATTGCGATATCCGAGTGCGCTGAATCTGGATTTGGGCAGAATGTGCATGTCAGTTTGAATCCGTTCACCTCACCCCCCAAGACGCAAACCGACGCCACTCCGCAGGCCGATACTTTTGAGATCGCGACGCGCAAGCTGCTCTGGCCCAATCCTCGTGGCGCTGGGTCGGGCCTGCCCTCCGCTGGTGGTTGTACGACCAGTGGCTTGAACTTTGTAAGGCTTCGGGCTGCGCAGAAACAGCCCCAGGCCAGCTGGCCTCAACAGGCCCCGAGTAGTCCAGGGCGGTCTCAGCACCCCAACCCTGGGGCGCGGAACGCTCCAGGTGGCGCCGCCGGAGGTGGCGCCGAGGTGTTGAGACCGCCCCAGACTGCTTAGGGGGCATGTTGAGGCCAGCTGGGGCTACTCGTGGGCCCTGTTGAGGGCAGCCGGGACTATCTGGGGGGGCTGTTTGTGTGCAGCCCGAAGCCTTAGCATACTCGATGGGAGAAGATTCTGGTCACGAGCGACGAACATATCCGTGTCCGCGCCCTCGCGGTCTGGATTCCAGGGCGCGATCCCGCGGACACGCGGTCGCACGGATTCGCTCCGTGCGGGTCATCCGGTGCAACAGCGCCCCGTATCCGCGGGGTGGCGGCCCAGGGGCCCAGCCCGCGAGGCCGCGGATACGGATATGTTTCCCGCCCGTGCTCAGGAGGCGAGAAGATGCTCGGAGAGGACGAGGAGGCGAGCGCGCCCGGCGTGGCGCAGAGGCCCCCCGCCCCCCGGGAGGACCAGACGTTGGCTGCCGCGGGCGTCTCGGGGGAGCCGCGCGTCCCGGCGCTGCAGCGCCCCAGCCAGTCGGCGACTGCAAAGGGTGTGGTTACGCTAGGGAACGGTTTGCGATCTGGGTCGTTGGGGCTTGGGGGGCACCACCTTGCCCTCGTTGGGCTTCTCGGGGCGCGGCGGAGAGCTCTGTCGAGGTCCTCGCCTGCCCCCCAGGGTGCCGGTTGCACACCACAGCCTTTGCACACCACACCCTTCGGAGTCGCCGAGCCAGAACGACATCCAGCGCCTCCATTCAAAGGACAAACAACGGCAGAAACATAACTTTTTGGAGGTCCGCGCGGATTTCTTGGATCGGCGCTGGACCCCCCTGGCGCTGCCTCCGGCGCCGCCCCTGGTGCGCGGAGCGCGCCAGGGAGGGGGCCCATCGCCAGTTCAAGAAATCCGCTCTGACCTCCGAAAGCGTATGTTTATGCAGTGGTTTGCTTCTCTGACCGTAAGCTCCTGGGGTATCGATTCTACGAGGCCGCCATGTCCAAGGACAGGCAGCTCATAGTGGACGAGTGCATGCACGAGCTCCAATACACTGTGCAGTGCGCCTGTGCCGAGTTCGGAGTCCGCAGGTTCGGCAGCTGCCACAACGGTTTTTCAACTCACGGCTCCGATCTTGATGCCACAATAGTGCAGGAGGGTGTGCACCAGACAGAGCCCCAGTACGCCGTTGAGGTCTTGCAGCAGTATATGGTGCCTCTGCTCTCGACTGCGAAGAGTGGCAGATTCGAAGTCACACAGACAATTGCCGAGGCGCGGATACCCATTTTGAAGATCAGGTATTGGCGAACAGAGCTCGAAGTATTGGACGTCGACCTGTCGTGCCACAACACCGAGGCCTTTCGCAACTCTCAGCTCCTCCTTGCCTATTCGCAGATGGGCGAGGGCATCATTGCTGCCCTTGGCATTCTCGTGAAGCTCTGGGCCAAATCGGCAGGGGTCTCTGGAGCGCCACAGAAGCACCTCTCCTCATACTCCATCATTCTCATGGTGCTGTACTTCCTGCAGGTGGTGCACAACGTGCCCTGCCTCCCCACGTCTGCCTTCGACGGCAGCTCCAAGGTCCCGCCGGAGGGCCGCCAGCACTGGACGTGGACGGGCTCGATGACGCTACTGCTGTGGCAGTTCTTCCAGTTCTACGCCACAGATTTCAAGTGGGGAATGGAGGTGGTCGCGATACACATCTCGAGGGAATAACCACGGGGATTATGACCAAGATGTCGCGTGATTTTATCGACGCCGATCTTTGTCATTTTCCATGACAGCCGCCGCCGATACGCGAGGATGATCGACGAATTGACGCTGACCAAGATGGACGGTGACCAAGATCGACACTGAGTGTCGGCGTTTTGTTTTGGTCATAGTCTCCGGTTTTCCCCTCCAACATCGGACAGCGCACTCACAACTCGGACGTGCTGCACCAGGACCTTCGCGGCCGCTGGGCAACGCGGCTGCACGTCGAAGACCCCATTCTGACCAACAGAAACCTGAACGCCCCGCTGGGCGCGGAGCAGGAGGAGCAGCTCAAGAAGGCCATCTGGGACGCGGCCCTCGCGCTGCAGAACGGCCAGCTGCCCGTTGGCCTGACGCCAGAGCTCGGCGAGCGCCCGCCCATGCCCTCCGCTGGATACGGTGTGCCGAAGGGCCCTGGGATGCAGATGGGCCTCCACGGCGGCAGCGGCGCCCCTGTGCAGCAGGGGACGCGGGGCTTCCCCTGCGGCGGTGCCCCCGGCGCCGTGCGCGGGCCGCCTGCGCCACGCGCCGCCTTCGGCCTCGCCCAGAGGGCGCAGGCGGACGCCGTGGCGCACGCCCAGGGCCTGCGCGGCTACCCCGGCGCCTTCCCCGTGGCGCCCATGGGCGGCGGTTGCGACGGCGCCCAGGACCTCGTGCGGCTGGCCGCCCTGCGGGGCGGCCCGTGGCAGCAGCCGCCCAGGGGCCCCGTGCCCGCGCTCGGCGGCCCCCGGGCGCTCACCAGCAGGCCTTCTGGACTCGACGGGAGTGCTGGGGCGCAGCTGTCCGGGGCGGCTGCACCGGCGCCCTGGCCCAAGGAGCCGCGGCCAGCGCCGGCGCCGCGGCCTCCCAAGGCCAACGGCGATGCGCGGGCCGCCTTCGCGGCGGCGCCCAGGAGGCCTCCGTCGCCCCAAGTCGCCTGGGGGCCTCAGGAGCAGGGGGCCGTGGAGAGAGCCGCCCCTGGCGCCGTGGGTAGCTCTGGCGGCGGCGCTCCCCACAACGCCCTTGGCGACAACAGGCGCACCCACGTCGTCTGGAAGCGCCAGCCGCGGGCTGATCCTGGGCTGGTCGATGGGCCCGTGCGCGGCCCAAGGCATTCTCAAGGCAACCCTGTGCAGCAGCCCGAAGCGCCAGCGGCTGAGAGTGTCCCGATGCCCTGCTTGAGCACGGTCTCGTTGCAGATCTGAGACGCCGGTGCATGCGGGTTTGTAACATTTGTCAGGGGCGCGTATTTTGACGATTGCCGCAGGCCCAGTGCTCCTGCAGCAAGGACGGTGCTAGAAGCGCCTCAGTCAGTTGCCCTGCGGGGGGCCGCATGACGCCTCAGAGGGCGTCCGATGCACTCCTCTTGCTTCTAGGCCCGCGCCAGCTGCGAGTGTGAGTGGGTGTGGCTGTGGCTGACCGCCGCCGCCGCCCCCACCGCCAGCACCCATCGCGAGAGCTATTGTGTACAACGCGGCGACCCGCCTTCCCGAGACCAGGCTGCAGTCCCTCCTGCGCAGGACCGCATGTCGTACGCGAATGGAGGGCATTTGACAGCTCCATGCCTGACCTCGCACTCGAGTTTGAGGCATCT